AAGTGATCCAGACTGTGCTAGGTGACCACACTCAGCCTGAGAGTGGACAAACCCATGAGGTGCTTCCAAGGTCAAGCCAACATTTCATCTCCTTTTCTACCTTAGAGAATAAGGTCTAATGTTGCTGCAGCCAATCGTTTTTTCCTAAGGGGAAAAAACAGTTTCTAGGCTGCTCTAGTGAATAAGTGGTCATCGGAGGTGGGGGGCTAACTTTATTAATCATCTCTGTGGTTTCTGTTTTCCTGCCTGGACCATGGCTAAATCAGGATTTTGAGCTTTTAGGGTTATAAGTCAGGAGTTTAAGGAACCAAAACCGGAACCTGCTCTAGAGCATCTTACACTACTATCATGAAACTGTCTCTCTTTGGTTTTATTTCCCTGCTTAAAATCCATCTGTGCCATCCTATGCTTGCCAAGTAAAGTCCACACCTTCAAGCAGGAAAGGCAGACCCTCTGCAGCCCACGTTCTCCCTCGAGTCCAAGACCAGCAACCTTAGCATCACCAGGGCCAGGCACCACTGGCCTGCAGAATCAGGAGCTGCATTTTAACAAGACCTCAGGTGACTCCTGTGCAGGTGACAGTATGAGAATCCCTACCCCTGACTGCTTCCAACCCACTCCAGCAAACTAGAATTATAAATTCTCCCAATTTACCTTTCCAATTGGGAGGGCTGCTTCATGATGTCCCTCCATTTTGAAGATGCTTCTCCTTGTACCTATCTGTGAAAATATCACCCACAATTTAAGACCCAACTCAAATGCCATCCCTTCCAGGAAGCCTGCCCTGCCTACTATTCCCCTCCCTTACCAGAGGTTGGAACTTTCATGGAAGTTTGTTTGACTCACCCTTAGTGTGTGTTTCCCTTTCTATTGGTTACCCATGTACTTATCAAGAAGGCAACATTCTGTAATAGGTCACAGGACTTCCTGGGTTCAAATCTTGAACATTTCCTAACTGTGACACCAAGCAAGTGCTTACCCTATTTGGATCTCAATTTTCTCATGTGTAAAAATGAGAGTAATAGCTGTCCCCCTCAGAGTACTATTTACCAAATGTGTATATGCCAAGAAATGTGACCAGAAACATATATCTGCTGTCACAATGTACGAATAAAGTGTTTAATCCATGGTGAGTGCTCAATGAATTTTAGCCACTATTTTATCTTATCACTTCCATTTATAACCCTGAGCTTTTGTGTAAAGGCAGGGACCATGTTTTATGTCTCTATAAAGTTACATAGGTGTTATGTCCCCAGCACCTAATGTAGATCTTGACAAACAGCATGTGCTTAATAAACAATCATTTACTTAATAAAATGATCCAAAGAACAATGCTCTTAATTGCACAGTAAATGAGGGCTACTAACCATAAAACCCTAGTTACCCAACATGGCATGTTCTCCCCAAGGCTGGCTGATTGCTTTTGTGTTTCTTTTCTTAGAACTATAATTTGTTTGTTTGTTTGTTTTTGTTTAAGCAGTGATTGCTGTTGTTTTTCTAGTAATCATTGGGTAGAAGTCCTGGTTCCTCAGTTGTGATTTCCATGCTGTCCTTGCATTGTGCTTTTCTGCCCCATTCTCTGATTCTTCCCCAAAAGCTCCATATTTTTTTTTGACATCTTTAAAAATATTACAACTAATCTTAAGAATTTATTTTTAACTTCTTTGTATAACTTCATTAACTGTTTCATTAATACTCTTTTGACTCCACCTCCCAAAATAATTTTTTTTTAATTCTAGTCTATTTCCATCTCTAAGAGAACACTTTGGCTGGGGTTTCTGACAAAAATGACACAATTCTTTCCACAGCTATGTGGAGTGGGAATCTGAAAACCAGTAGAGTCACAGTTGCCCAGTTCTATCGCCTGGACCCTACACCCAAAAACTTGCCATATGCACAGGTCCCCAACCCACAACCAGGCCCTATGTCTCTGCTATCTCTGTTAAAAATGTTCTCTTTCTGGTTAAATCTCAATGGAAAATGAAATAAATACTATCAAAAGAAGTTCATTCAAGGTAAAGGTCATTCCACAGTCCAGTTGCCTTGCATTACAATGGCCCCCGATATATATTATTTTCTGCAGACTCAACTATGCTATTTTTTAAAATTTTTGACCAATAAGCATTTTTAATTTCCTTTCAGAGTCCCCTGTGGTGACCTCATTTGGTTTAGATGCAATTCAAATATTCTCTGGCTCCCATGGTTCCCTCCTATCCATAATTTGCATGTTTCTATCTTCTTTTTATTTTCCAGGGGCAAAATATTGTTCAGGGCAACCAAACTCCCTCCACATGAAGAGCAAAAGATTTTCCCTCTTCCTACCCCACTCAATGTAGTTTTAAGAAGGGGGAAAAGACAATTGTTTGGGATTTCAAGGAACGGGGTGGGGGGGGGGGATGGCACCCTAGACCAGTAGGAATGTGATCTACTATGGGAAATCTCTTACCACTCTGTGGTGTTTGTCTTTGCAGCTCCTGGAGAAGCAGCCTCAAGGGAATGGCTTCTTGTTGGAAAGTGGGCCCATAGCACAGCACCAGTAAGGACAGAGGGCTCTGTCTGTGGGAAAAGGAAAATCAGTGAACTTTCAAGTCCAAGGGGTAGGGGCAAAGCTTCCAGCTTAAGCTAGATGTCTGGAAACTCAATATTGCCCAGAGTATCAGTTACCTCACAGACTCAGACCCTGTTCTGCTCAGTGGAGCACAATATCCCAGGCAGGCTTCTGAGATGAAACACTCTGTGCACCTTTGAATGAACTCTAAGAAAATGTGCATCAGAGTCTTCTAGAAAGGGAAATTGTACCTGGTAGAAGGATAGAGGAGTCATTAAGATAGAAATTTGAGTACAACAAAATATCAAGAGTTTCTCTTGTCTGCCTTGGCAGTGGGATTTAACAGCAGTGGGGTCACTCTTTAGATCATGGCTCTCAGACCATGCATGCCCTAACAAACTGCTGTTTGGTGTCTCTTTGCCAGAATGAATCATCAGTTTTCCTTGCCTGCCATTTTAGTATCAAACATCCTTGATACTCAAGAAACAAAATAAGAGAAACCTTCAGATCTTGATTCTATACTGGTGGGGAATTCCACATACACGAACAAGTTACAGTATCCCACTTAACATTTGGGAATGAATTCTCTCCCCACTCACTCTGAGCCTGCCACCAGATTAACCCTTTCCAAGCCTTCATTCATGTCTACCAGTATGCTCAACAGCATTCTAGGCACTTTTGGGATACAAGCAAGCCCAAGACATTGTCTCTGCCCTCAAGGGGTTCATTTTCTAGTAGGGAAAGCTGGTGTATTAATAAGAATAGCAACTTGCCTACTGAGCCTCTTTTGGTAAGCACTGAGCTAAGCACTTATGGTAGATGACCTCCAAGAGAGCTTCCAGTGATCCTCACCTCCTGGTATTCATGTGCTTATGTACAACCCTCTACACTGATTAGGGCTGACATGTGTAACTAATAGGATTTGTGGAATAAGACTGTGTGACTTCTGAGGCTAGGATATAAATGGCAATGCAGCTTCCACCTTGCCCTCCCTGGGATCACTCTAGGGGAATCCGGCTGTCATGTGGTAAGGACACTCAAGAAACCCTACCCTGTGGGGAGAACCTCATAGGGAGGAACCAAAACCTCCTGCATATAGCCAGCCAGGTGACTAGACCACTTTAGGAACAGAACCTGCAGCCCTTGCTAACATGCTGACTGCCCTGCCATGAGAAATCCAAAGACACAACCACCAAACTATGCTGCTCCCAAATTCCTGGCCCACAGAAACTATGAGACAGTGTTTATTGTTGATTTAAGTCACTAAATCTTGGGGTAATTTGTTATGCAGCAATTGATAATGAATACAGTGTTTTGTGTTCATTTTCCATTGAATCCTTGTGTATTTATTGTCCCCATTTTACAAACGAAGAAACTAGGATTTAGAGAGTCTAACATAGGAGTCAAAGTCAGAGCTACAATCTAATCTAATGAACTGCTTAGCCCTGTCCATAGCCTCTAGCTAATAAAATGGTTTGGGTACAAACATGTATGTCGATACAGGGAAGAGAAGGTCACAGTAGGAGAAACAGCGGGCTCTACCTGGAAAGTCTGGAACTGGAGGTGAGGAGGAGAGAGTGAAGGGTCCTTAAAGGACATAAAACTTGCAACAAAAATGAAGAAGCAGATGCTCACCAGCTGAGAAGTAGGAGAGGGATTCTGGAGGAACAGGACCAGCAGAGGTATGGAGGCACCAAACAGCATGGGGAGCTCAGAATTGTCTGGAGTTTCTAGACCCGGAAGAGCCAAGGCCTTGTGGCTCACTTGCCAGGGATAATCTTTGTTCTAGCCCCCAAGAACAACCTTACTGTCACAAGACCCCCAGAATCACTGGAATTGGTACCTTTTCTGCAAACTGCAGCCCTGCTCCCCACTTTTGATGAGCTCAAATCCCCAGTAGGTCCCCACTTCTTAGCTAGGACAGATCTCTCTTAGCAACCCAAGTGCCTGGCATGTCTGACTCACACTTCTGTTCTGCCTGGCAGACAACTCTTATTCTTTACAAAATTATAGTTGTGATGTTTACGTTTGCCTTTATAACTTATCTCTTGTCTACTGCAAAATATCATATGAACCTCACTTCCCTCCCTTCTTTAGTAGGGTTACTAGACTGACAGATCTAGTCAGATTCAGGGACAAATTCAAGAATGTTGAATTTCAGGAAGGTATTTCCTTCCTCACAAGAGCCTTCTTGGGGTGGATTGCAATTGGAGAAGTACAACATGGTGGGGGGTGGGCGTCAATAGCTGCTATAATAACCACACCCAAATTCTACTGACCATGACTGATGTCAGTTCTATAACACAGTCTATATTGACATGACTGATGGTTCTGCCCCCAACCTCATCCCAGCCAACATCTTTTAAACCAGTAGTTTGAATGGAGCCATAGAAAGGAGATTTATCATCTGCCCTGATGGCTGAAACTAAGCTCGGTAACTGTGCAAGCTGACGGAACTGAGAACCAGGACCTCTCAAAAGGCTAGCATGGGGTAGCTTGACCATGGTGAATCCACCCAAAATGGAAGGTCCTTCACTTGCATTCCAAAAGTAACTTCACAAATACATTCTGAAGATTTCTGACTCAGTAGTTGCTGTAAAAGGGAAAGACATGGAAGCGTGTTAGCCCACGGTGAGTGAAATGAGAGGGAAGACAGGCTTGCAGTAATCTGGCTTTCTGTAGAGTAAAGAGAAGGAGGAGGGGTGGTTTGATTCTGAAGGTTTACTGCTGAGATTCTACAGCCCCACCACCACCCCAGGACTGTATTTAGTAACTCTCCCTCTATTCCATTAAATGTGTTTGGGTTCCCAGCCTTATCCAGGCCCTCCCCTCAGAGTGAGCTAGGAGCCCTTAGAAGGTAATGAGAACACTGAGAGCTTAGAGTATGGGAAGAGCTTGGAAACGAAAGCTCTCAGAGCCTCTCCCTGCATGGCCCTAGTCCTGCTGATAAGGCTAAGAGCAAAGCTAGCTGACAAGTGATTGGAAACAGGAGTTCTCAGACCCTTTAACCCTTCCCTCCCCTGCCAGTGTGTGCAGCCCATCTCCTTTGGCTTCCTGCTGTCTATAGCAGGGCTTCTCCCTCTCCTCCCCTCCCTTTCCCCCTCCCACCCCGCCACATGCACACCAATTTTTTGTCTACCTCTCCCTTTGTCCTGCTAGGTCACTGAATGCTGTCCTTCTGCCTGAAAAAGTCGCTAACACCACTCAAGTTGCAGCCCCTCCATCCTCAGGTCACCCTACAAGTCAGTCCAGGATTGTCCCTCCAGTCAATCAGAACCACCACACTTAGGTCTGTCCAGGGCTGCTCAGCAGCAAGAGCCTCCCAGGTGAACATTGGCCCTGCTTTGCTCTGGGGGTTCTGGAAAGAGAAACCCCAGGCCAACTCTCAGGAGCCTAACCCCAGTGGCTGGCTGGGGAACCCTATTTAAAGGTTTCAGGGCTCACCCCTCCCCTAGCCAGATCTTACTTTTCAGACTCATTCACAAGGTTCTCCACAAATCAGGTATTGCCTAGTGCATGGACAGGCCTCCTACAGGACAGATGACTAGGGATCGGTCCCCAGCAATGGCCAGGTGACTTAAGCTGAGGGGCAAGCAGACCTGTTTACCCTGAGGAGGGAAGGTGTTAAAGAGAAACCAGCTTACTAGCCACAGTAATTAAGTGTAAAAGAAGCTTCCTTCAGCCCAATGGAATTCAGATAAACTGCTATTGTCATGCAAAACAGCTTTGCACCTAAAAGCCCTCACCCAAACAGGCTGTTTAATTAACTCCCTAATTGCCTCTGACCTGTTCTGACCCCTTTCCTCCCCATTTCATACCTTCCCTCCACCTACCCACCCACCACCAGCCAACTTCAATTCCATATAAAACACAGAACCATAAACAGGCAAATCATTCCCCAAAATGGTGAGTCTGGGGATCTCTTTAAGGTGCTAGGCCTTAGGGTGTTAATTCCCTAAGGCTCAGACAGCCCTGATTGGGGTGCTGGCGCTGACAACAAGGGTGAGAACAAGGTGGTTAGTGGCCGTGGCCATGGTGATGGTAACAATGATGTCGGGGAGGAGGCACAGTCTTGAACAGGAGGACATACACATTGGACAGTCCCGATGACTCCTGTCTGTCCTGCAGCCAGTGAAGCCCACTTACATCCAATCCTTGTCATGAATAAAGCCTGCAATGTCACTACCCACAGTGTGCAGTAACCCTCCCAGACTTGGGTGAAGGATTCGTGTTCAGCCAGAGGAGGCAAGCCCGTGGGTATCCCCAGACCTGAGGTTGCCCTGCTACTGCTGGGAGTCTAGGAAGGATGCAAAACCTGTCAGTTAGATTTGAGTTTGCTGGAAAGAGCTCAAAATTGTGAAGTTCAGGCTGGCTGCTGTGGGTAGAGGAAAAGGGTAGGATAAGAACAAGTGGAGTGATGGGGTGACAATGGCAGGGCTGCAGAACACTGACAGAGAACAACCAAACAGTACCTTCTGGTGTCTGCCACGTGCTTTAGTTAGTGCCTTCCTGTGGGCAAGAAAGGAAGGCCATGCACATGTTCTCTCTTCGTGTTTAATCTTGCAGAATAAATCTTACTCTTTTTATCCCACTAAAGGAGACTGATCAGGGAGGTAAAGTAACTTGTCCAATAGCACACAGCCCATGACTGGCAGAGCCAGGATTCAAACACCAGCCTGCTTTCCTGAAAATTGATGCTCTTTCTACTAAACCACACATCAGCCTTGAGGATTATCATGTTGGAGGGCAGATTAACCCCCAAGGACACTCTTCATCGAATTACAGGCCAAATGTCTCCTCTTTCCTGCAGCCGGAACAGCCCATCCTCAGGGCAAGGGTTTCTGCAGGAATGGGGGAACCAGCCCTCAGCCCTGAGGTGGCAGGACAGGGAGCTGAATTTGCAGAGTCTTCTTAGGGCTTAATCCCAAGAGCCTAAGGAGTCCCAGAAGAAACTTTTTCTTCCAGGAAAGAAGAATCCCATCAGGGGCTGTGGTGGGGGAGGGGGCATCTGTAAGTCATATAACAAACACCAGATCTCTCCCTTTTATACCTCATTCCTTGGGTGGGGGTGAGCAGAGGAACCATCTCTATTTGGGAAGCAGTGAAACTCAAGGCACCGTGAACCCTGCACTTTTTCTGTTAATTGTGTGGACTTCACCAAGCCTGAAGAACGCAGGGACCTTCTTCAGAGGAAGTTACACTTCTGGAAATATGACTCTCTGGATTATGAAACTCCTGTTTGGGGGGGGCGGGGATGGATTCCCTACTTCCTGCACTGTGTTTTGTTTTGTTTTTGTCAAAGAGTAGGAGTTTTACAGAGTTTCCAATAAATCTTATTAATAAATGAGGCAGCACAAGACCCCCCTTCTCCCCCCAGGGAGCTCCCATGCCTTTCAGTCTCTGGCCCTGAACTGGTTTTGCCCTATTGGGCAGCCACCTTGCTGCAAAGCCAGGTATTTCCAGAGGTCATCCACTTGGAATAGCAGGTGCTGCTGTTTTGACTTCAGATAGACAGCTCAGAATGGAGGAAGACTCCTTGGCTCCAGGGCTGATATGGGTGGGTTAAGCTAGTGGGGTGTTGAACAAGATCTGTTACTAGGTCCTTTGTCTCCCTTATACCAAAGACAACAGAGAAAACTTTTAAAAAGCTGTATTGGTTTCCAGAACCCCGTGGAAGCAGATGGCGTGTCAACAGGTTCCAGGGCAGGCTCGAGAGGCCCCAGACCTGGGAGTCTTATTGGAATGCAATTACCCTAAGTGCTGGCTGTTAGGATGAAAAGACAGGAATGCAATTATGGAAGGAGCTGGCTGTGAGCTTTCATTGATTAACCTGTCCTGTCTGATTCCATTCCCCTCCGGAGTTTTGGGGCCCTGAGGGTTGCCCTGTGCCCTTGGGTTATGAGAAAGGAAAACAGTCCTTGTGGATAGTGAATGCCTAGAGCAGAGTTTAGGAGAGCCCTGGACCCTGAAATTGCCTGGGGGATGCAAAATGTGCATTTTCTAGAATGTGCTTTTACATGCTATCACTTGCTCAAAGGATTTGCAGCCCAAAGGGTTAAGAACCTCCATTTTAGAGGGGTGACTGATCAGAGAAATTGCTAGAAAAGTCCACCAGGAAAGCTTGCGTACCTTCACTTTCCAACTCTAACACCTGGGTTCAACTCTGCTCCTTGCTGATCTGTAAGTTACTTTGCCTTTCTGTGCCTCAGTTTCCTCTGTAAAACAACGTAAAAAATACCTACATCTTGGGATTGAGAAGCAAAGTAAAAGACATATGTGATACAAAGCTCTTAGCCCAACACACAGCCCTTAGTAATCTCAGTAGGTGGTGATAATGATTAACTATTCAAGTATGCATGCTCTTCCCACTAGATTCTATTTGGATCCTCAGGCAAGATCCTGCTCCAAAATTCAGCAGGCTATGAACTCCAGCATCTCCAGACCCTGCTTCCTCAAACTCTCTCCCATTAGGGTGCTTCTTTCCCAAGAGGCCTTAGGATCTGGCCATACAGGTAGATAAGCTTCTGGAAGTGGGGGTACAGCAAGTGTCAGCACCTAGGCCAGAACCATCTTAAGGTGACCCCATCATCTAGCAATTTCAATCACCAAAACCTTCTTGTTGTGATGACACAGATGCTGGGTTGAGATGAACTTTTTCCCAACATGCACTAGGACCAGCATCTGCTGAATGACCAGTATGGGACTAAGAAAGCAAAAACCCAAATCTGTCCTCTTCCCCCCTCCTCCACTCCCTTTCCTGCTCCCAGACCCTAGGAGTTGTCTCAGAACCTTCAGGAGCCTTCCGCCCTGGCCCCAGTTACTCCAGCCTCCTCCCTCCAGCACACCCACTGCATTCCAGTCCTTGCTTCTGTGGGTGCACCCACACTCCAGCAGGGAATTCAGGGGCAAGGGCCATGGGAGAATCTTTATTCTTCAGTTCCCAGGAGAGAATACACCCAAAAAAGCAAAGAGAAGGAGCCGACTCTGGGCTGCGCATTCATTTATTTATCATCAATCATTCATTTATTCATTAATCATTCATCTCCCCCACCCATCAATCGTTCATCTGCTTACTTATTCATTCAGTTTGTACTTCTTGCTTGCTTTGGTTGCCACAGATGTTGGTTTGTTCCTGCTTTGCTCTCTCCCTATCTCTGTGGCAGCTGCATAGCAGAAGCCTTCTGATGTACCTCATTGGGTATCTGGTTGAGAGGGTCTCCCTCTAAGGAACCTGAGTCAACCAAAGGGACAGTGCAAAGCTGTCCTCTGCCTGCAAGTCCACTTCCATTGCAAAATCCAGCCTTCTGGTCAAGGGGTTAGTGGGAAGGTGTGGGAGGGGCTCCAGAGGGGTCTCCAGGGCCACTTAGGGAATAATGGTTGGACATGCCACACTGTGCATGAGCTCTGGCTGTTTGAAAACCATTATTCCGGTCCTTCTGGGGGGCCAGGGACTACAGGAGACTCTAAGCCCCAGGGCCTGGCTGTGAGGGGTGAGCTCAGCCTGGGGGGAGGGGGGACTGAAAACATAGTGTGGGAGGAACTGGGACTGAAGTTTTAGAGCTGACAGTTGCCCAGTTTCCATCCACCCTACTCCCCCTTGGTGCCTAAAGTTCATTCTCAGCCAGTAGCCAGAGGTCCTTTAATATAAGTCAGACTATGTTCTGCCTGTGCTCAAACCCAACTCTGACTTCCCATTCATCAGAACAGAGGCCAACTCCTGCTTTACCTGGCTCCTTTCATCCCCCACTCATTCCTGCTTGTCAGCCCCACTAGCCTCCTCCTTCCTTACCTAGCAAGCCATGCACCTGCTGTAGGGCTTTTTCCCCAGTCCTTCTCTCTGGAACACTCAGCCCCTGGGACTCTCTTGACAGTGGTTCACTTTCTCACCTTCAAGTCTTTGCTCAATTGACACCTTTCCCAGGAGTTTACCCTGCCGCATCATATTTAAAATTGCAAACCACAAGCACACACACTGCTCTCACCCCCCTGCCCCATTCTTCAGCACTTACCACCCTCTAACATACTATATAATTTATTCTCCTTTCTGCTGGTTTTGTCTGTCTCTGCCTGCTAGAACGTGACTTGCAGTAGAACATAGGTGTGCCCATGGACACCTGGTACCTAACAGGAGGTAGGAAATCATTCCTTGGGTGAAAGAATAAATAAATGATGGGCTCCAGGAAGCTCTGAGGATGAAGCTCATGAAGCCACAGGCTATGGAGTTTGGAGCTTCCCGGGGTGGAATATAGGAAGCTCATGGTGAGCTGTGCTGAGCTCGGCAAAATCATCCACTGCCACTGCCAGCCCTCTCAGGAAGGGAAGGTAGGCAGCACCGTGGGCAGGGATTGTGCTAACTCGAGATGCCAGCTCCATGCCGCTCTGGGGCTGGCCAGGACTCTGGATGTCGTTAGCTGATTTGTTCTGCTCTGCAGAATGTACTTTTCATATTTAGTCAGAAAAAGCAGCTTTCGATCCTCGTGGCCTTTCTTCTGTGAGCTGTAGCACATGGCCTACTTATTATGAATTAATCCTCTAAAGAGCATGTTCATTATTCTAATTTAATTGTGTTTCGTTTCAGAAAATAACTAAACCCAGTGCGGAATAAACTCCTATGCTGATCGGTTTTCAAGAAGTTAACCTAAGACAAAATACTGCTAGAGGGCAGCAGCAATTTGGAACCATTAAAGGGAACCCATGTAAATAATAAAAACAAAACTAAAATGCAGAATTAAATTAAGGAATAGGAAATTAAATTTGTGAATCTAATCTGAAGCTGAGGCCTCATATGCGCAGGCTTACCCCAGCTTGGCTCTTTGCTCAGGAGTGCTCGTTGAGGAGGAGGTTATGCAAAGGGTCCTAGACCAGGGACACAGCAGCTCCTCCTGAGTGACAGTGAGATGCCCTGGGAAGAAGGAAGAGGGGGACTTCCCTCCTCCGGGGTACCTTCTGATGAACATGAAAGCCGCATTGTCACAGCTACATCTGGATGAGTCCTGCGGAGCCCCAGTGACTGGTGAAGTAGGACCACAGTGGGGAGTCCACAGTGGCATGTGAGGCATGGAGGCACTGGAAATGAGGCAGATAGATGGGTGCAGGGTGACTTCAGGACAGAGCTGCTGGGAGCAAAGCAGCTCCTCCAGTCCTGCTTCACCCCTGGGCTCTGGTCCCTCCCACAGGTGACTAAGCTCCGGACAGAGACTGAGGCACTTACTCCGTGCCCAGGCACTGGCCCTTCTTCAGGATCCTGGCCTTTCCACCAGCACCATGAGACTCCAGCATCACGACAAACAGTCCTCATAGCTGGTCAGGCCCTGTTCCTGGGGTGTTTTCTCTCTTTCCTTCCACCTCCCTTCTCAAGTCAGATAGACTAGTCTGGAGTCACAGATCTTCCAAGTACTCGAGCTTGGACAAACTTTCTCACCTCCCTTAACCTAGGTCTCCTTGTAGATAATAATAATAACAACACTCACCTCTTCAGCTGTTATAAGGAGAAAATGAAATAAAGCACCTGGCACAGCAACAGAGCAGACCCTCAGGTACTTCTGCTATTTCCTTTTCTGTTTCACCAGTACTTGTTCACACACTCTCTGTCTACACACACGTGCACATGTGCACACAAAGGCTCCATCCTTTGTCCAGGGCCTTAGGCTGTGTTTCTAGAGAACCACAAGTACTTGGGGGGGGGTAGTCTAATTGACTACTTGCTTCCATTCTCAAAAGCAAACATTCAAACAGATGGCTGTATCTGAGCTTCCATTTCCATCATCATTTTGGGTCTACTTAGATAAATTAGGCACCTTAGAATAGATCTTTTGTTTTGAAAAACAAACCAGCAAAGAAAAAAAAAAAAGACAGTCACTTTTCTTTGTTTAATTTGCATCTTGAAGTCCCCATCAAGGAAATGATGCACATAATTGAGGCCACAACGTTGCTGACTGGTCAGTTAATTAAAGTGATTACATCTAAAACTATCAATTATGAAGAGAAGAAAGGCAAAGTGTTAAAAATTTTCTTGAATTCCCTGGCCATGTCCCCTAATCTCACTTTGCTAACTGTCTTCAGAAAGTATACTAGCTTCTCACCCATCCCTTAGCTTGTGCCTATAAACTGAGATGCCAGGATGCACTGCCAGTCTTGGAACAACTCCCAGAGCAACCTTGTGGTATGGATCCAAGAGCCTAGGGAGATCCATGCTAGTGACAATGGAAAGGAGCAGGAGAACCAAGCCCTGATCTGAGGAATCAGGGAGAAGGAGTTACCTAAAGTAAGGAGCAGATCCAGGAAGGCCAAGGCCACTATATTGACCTATACCTAGACCCAGGGCAAATGCTGAAAAACGACCTCTCAGACCTTTAAAGTTTAAGAAAAAGGCACTGATGGCCTGGCATGGTGGTGCTCATATGTTATCCCAGCACTCTGGAGGCTGAGGCAGAAGGATGTCAAATTTAAGACCAGCTTGGGCTATATAGCAAGACCCTGTTAGGAAAGAAAATGGAGGAAGAGAGGAGTGGGGAGGGAGGAAGAGGGGATGGGAAGGGAGGGAAGAGGAAAGGAAAGAGGGAAGGAAAATGAAGGCAAGGAAAGCACCAAAATCTTAGAGACATCTAATGTGTGATCGATGAACACTTCATGGGGGCCTTGTCCCATGTGGTTCACCTGAGGAGTTCATTTCTAGGATGTTGGAGGAGCTTAACCAGTTAAATAGTACTATGGACTGCTTGTTTTGTATCCAAAATTCATGTGGAAACTCTCTAGCTCCAATGCAATGGTATTAGAAGATGGAGCTGTTGAGAGGTAATTAGGTTCATATGAGGTCATGCAGGGGGAACCCCACTATTCCCCATGATGGGAATAATGTCTTTATAAGAGGAAGAGACTAGAGCTTTGTGAGAACAGGTAGAGAAAATGGATGTCTGCAAACCAGGAAGGGGAACTCACCAGACACTGGATCTTCCTGCACCTTGATCTTGAAATTTCCCTGCTTCCAGAACTGTGATAAATAAATGCTTGTTGCTTAAGCCAACTAGTCTATGACATGTTGTTATAGCAGCTCAAATTGAGGAAGACAAATGATTTCTGTATTTCATTTTATTTTGGGAGATGCTGGGCATCAAACCCAGGGCCTCACACATGCTAAGCAAGCACTCTGCCACTGAACTACATTACATCTCCAGCCTGGTTTCTGTGGTTTTGATCCTCAATGAAAACCTCTGCTTCCAGAAGATGGCCTTGCCTGCTGTAAAGGTATCTGTATAGAGGCAACTTCACCATTTGATTGTGAAGGTTCAAGTCATATCTGCTCAACAGAAGAGCTTCCAAAGTAGCCACTTTTATAGAACCAAACATTTCTCTGAACCAACCAAATTCCCCTCCATGTGAAGTTCATATAGCTTATGTGACCCAGGCATGCATAAAATTCATCCCTGCATGGATCCCTTCCCCCACTGGATAATTATGACATTATTGTTAGGAACACTAGCAAAAATAGTCAACATTCACTGAGAGCCTACTCAATGCCAAGCATTTCTTTTAAGTGATTAATAAGAATCAGCTCATTTAAGGCTGGGAGTGTAACTCAGTGGTAGAGCCCTTACCTTGCATGAGAAAAGGTCCTGGGTTTGATCCCCAGCATCACACACACACACATACACACACACAAGAATTAACTCATTCACTTCTTACAACCACCATTTGAAAAAGTATTGTCCCCATTTGATTGATGAGGAAATTAAGGCAGAGAAATCCAGCACAATGCCCATTATAATCATAAAACATGTCAACACTAGGATTTGAACAGACAGTGTGCCCACTCTGGAGCCTCCTAACCACTACACACCACTTCCTGGTTATCATCAGCTCCCCCTGTTCACAGATCTATCCATAGTGACCCTAAATACATGCCACATGGAAAAATGAGTTTGCTGGGCCTTCAGTGACTCACATCTGGAAAGCAGGCTGCTGTTCTTGAAATGACTTCATGCCACTTTTCTCCCCAAGTCCTATGGAACAGGGTAGCTGGGTCAGCCTGGTCATCCTTGCCTTTTGGCAAATGTTGTGGCCTGGGCTCTATGGCTGTGTGGCTTATCGACAAGACCATGCTTTATTGTGTTTCATGGATCGGCTGCTCACAGCCTGTGAGGGCAACTTGGGCTTGGCAGTCAATAGAACATTCTCAGAGGAAACAGCCTTGTCAGTGTGCAGGTACTTGTTTCAACTCCAGACCCTGGTTTTATACACACATCTGCAGTGGGCATATGTACTGTGATAGATGAAAACAGAAATGGTTTTCCCTTGTATCTGTATTATTAGATTTGACCTCCCATCGAAACAGCAAAGAAAAGAGTGGAAAATTAAAGGTGATTTGGTATTAGCCTCCCATTCATATTAGAAAAAATAACTGCTCTTGCGGTTTTCCTCACAGAGGTGTCTTTATTCATTTGACATGCCTTTAATAACTAATTCTAGTTGTCTGGTTGCCAAGAAAGATTTCCTACGGGCAGACTTGAAAGTGACTCGGAACTCTTTGCATGCCCGGCTTCAAATTATCCCAGAACAGCAAACATTCAGCTTCCCTCCAGACTTCTGAAGTGTGGGAATAACATGAAAGAATGAACAGAAATCATTCTGCAGCCTGCATATGCTATGAGCGGAGATGTCTGGCAGAGGTTGTATCTACATGGACCAGGCATAGTGAGATTTGGAAATAATCTCGTGAATTTGATCTGTGGAGTCAGCCAAACCAAATGATTTATTTCAAGAAAATAAATCTACTTTGGGGCCAGAATGATCCAGGTCAGCCATACACAGACTGAGCTTTCCTCTGTGTAGACCTGGAGTGGGCAGAGAAAGACAGGCAACACTGCCATAATTGCGCTCACAGGGTCACAAGCAAGAAACACACACTATGAAAGAGTATAAATATTCATCACAGTGATATTCATCTGAAGATGCCAGGCTAAGCAGATGGCATGTGCAAGTCCATTTTTATCTTCACAACAATTCTACCTGTGAAGGAATCATACCATTATTTCCATTTTATGGATATGAAAACTGAGCCTCTGAAATGTCAAAAACTTGCCTAAAAGGCACAGTTCTAGAGGCAGAGGTCTTCTAGTTGTTCATCAGACATTTCCCTTTTCCTCCTGGGCACACAAAGACATGGCATTTCCCAGGCTTCCTTACAGTTAAGAGACTCAATTCTAGCCAAAAGAAAGTAGATGGAAGTGATATCTGTTATTTGCAGTTCTGGTCATAAATCCTGCCCATCCACAATTCTCTCTTTTCCTAATCAATGACTGAACAGGTAAGATATCCTCTTCTGACCAAGAAGAGAATAAACCCTGGGATAGGGAGAAAACAGAATCATCAGTAACTGCTTTGAGTAGAACCCTTTCTCTATTAACCTGCAGCAGATGGGATGTGAGTTAGGATAATCTATTGTGTTAAGCCACTGAAATGTGGTGATTGTGGTTTCCAGCTGCAAGCTAAACTGACTAACATGACTCAAAAACTATTTCCAAACCAAATGTGGACTCCAAGTCTACACTTCAGCCTCCTCCTTGCTTATAACTGCACTGAATCCAATCAACCCATTCCAGGAGACATCAGGAAGACCCTCTAACTTTTTTTTTTTCTTCTTGCAGTGCTGGGGATGGAACCCAGGGCTTCATGCATGCTAAGCAAGTAGTCAACCACCAGCTGTAGCCCCAAACCCCACCCATTTTTTAGTCTCATCCTATTCCCTGCTCTACAGGGCCAGGCAAGTAGAGGGGTGGCTCAGTGGGTCAGAGTTAAAGCTAACATCCTTCCTTGCATCAGCATCCTGAGCTGGGGCAGAAAAGCAGAGTCAGTGGACAGCTTCACACTTGGGAACTAAAAGGCAGGGAGGGAGAAGTTAGGAAAATGTTCCTCTCTATACCATGTTAAACCTCATTCAGCACTGGGGGAAGGAGACACACAGTTCTAAAAGCAACTTTTCCCAAAATGTGCATCACGTAGCAGCACTCCTACCAAGGGATGTTCATAGCTGTCATCAAAAAAGAATTCTTTTGTCAAACATGTTAGAGCACACTGGGTTAAACAAATCTCTTTATTGTAAGACTCCTCAGGGCCTTTACTATGCAAATTTATGTCTTTTGAATCTCCCCAAAATAGGAGCTAGGATTCAGTGTTTCTTAAACTTTTTTGATCATAGAATCTCCTTCACTTTTTCATGGACAAGCCTATAAGACCTGCACACAGTGGCATAAGTACTGGAAAATAGTACTCTTAGGACTAAG